AGATATTTAAATAGTTATATGGTTGTACCGTCACAAGAAACTATTCGAGTGCCTTCCCGTAGTATTGTCAGTAGAAAATCTAACAGTTTGTGGAACCTGTACGGCACAAATGAAAATTATTATATAAGTTTGAAGTATAACTATTGTAACTAACTTTGTTCAATGAATAAAATGATTACCTGCAAATGGCTTTTGTTTCGTTTATCGCAACACATTAAAGTTCCCATATGTGGTGCTCTACTTAAATGCATGTAATCATAAATACTAATGCAATATTTTTTATTTCATGAAATTCTGTTCACATAGGCAGTAAGCTCCAACTCGGATTAAAGAGCCACGGCTGCTTTAATGCCAACATTGGAGTTAATCAATACGATTTACAGATCATCAAACATTAAAATTTTTACAGCTCATCCAATAAGGGTTAAAAGTTTAGGCTGGCGCACAGTGGATAAGTTTTCAGTTTTTTTAAATTAACCCATGCATTATTCTAGAAAAAAAACACGAAAACTTGGCATCAAAGCAGCCGTGCATTCTAATTCGGAATTTAATCCGAGCATAATACGGGTTGCAGCTTACCGCCAAACAGTTTCAAACTTTTTTCATACATTTAATCACTTTTTTTTACAATTTTAGATAACAAATTCAATGATGAATCATTGCAATATATCACCGATGATGACCTGACGAAGATTGGCATTATTGAAATGGGTCCAAGACTCATTATCAAATCGGTTATTTCGAAAGATTTGAGGAAATTCGTTACTAATCATTCAGCTGCTGGACCGTCTGGTTCCTACTCAAATAGACCTTCCAAAGAAACTAAAGAACCTGCTTGTGAACCTGCCCCACCCACGGTAAGTTGTAATTAAATTCACCAATGAAAATGGTCCCTGGCAGTAAGTCACTGGTAAATTAATTCTCCTATTGAAAAAGTACGCCTCCTCTAGCAGTTATAATATAACTCTAAACTCATATCTTATGAACATGTTTTAACTATCACAACCTAGCTTTTGTTTAAATTGTTGTTCATAGCGTTCAAAACCATAAGTACCTAATTACAATGAGCGATTATCTAATCGATTTTCTCTTTTGATTATTACTCGACACGTTGGTTGCTGCTTTTATTGACCAATATAAAGTTTCACTAAAAAAAAAATCGAGAAAATGGTTCACTTAACAATTAAAACAAAAAGAAAAATGCAGAAAATCGATCATCGTAATAAAGCCCTTATGGTTGTGAACGCTATAGATTTGATTCTTGGTTTAATGGTTGTCATTCATATTAGACTGGTGAACCGGGTGAACCGCAAGCACCTGATCAGTTAATCTACCCGATACCTTAGCCGGTGCAACAAAAATCGACGATACCTCGCGTAGTATTTGAAAAGAGCCTATCTATTTTTGTAAACAAAACTTACCACACTCTTCGCGCGGACCGAAATACGTCCACGCAAACCAAAAACACGAGTACTATTGAGAAGAGGAGACTTTCCTCTACCTTACGGTGTGGTTGGTTTGCGTGGGCGTGCTTCGTGGCTCGCACGACGAGAGCATTGCAAATTTTGTTTACAAAAATTGATCGGCCCTTTTTACAACGATTCACAAAAAAAATTTGAGTTTAAATAAATAATGATGTTTTTTTTTCTGTAATTCATAGCTGCGAGAAATTCTGGAGAAGAATGCAAAGTTTCGAAGCATTTTGTATTCTGAACTGGATGCAAACATTGTTCCAGCGCGCAAGGAGATGCTATTAATGATTCGAATTCTGTGCAATGACATCGTTGCAAATTTAATAAACAACCAGGTGTATGTATACTTAACATTGATTTTAACTAATGTTTATGCAAATGTGATTACTTACACTAATGATATGCAATTTACTCGTGTAGGTATCCAACATTGCAGGACAAAAAAGAGATGGCACTGAAAATCATTGAAGAATTTCCAATATTACGAACAACTACTGTCCCTCATTATGTGAGTGAATGGTTTGAAAATAGTGAAAAAGATTATAAACTACTTGTAACTTTACTCTATTTGATCCAATGATTTGAGATTTTGAGGCTACAAATGTACAGATTTTTTTTCGCGTACGAAGTACCAAATTTTTCATGAACTGGCCGGGAAATGACAACATGGTTAAACATTTTCAAAACAATAGCACTTCGTATTTCATTGCTATCATTTTGAAAACAAATTAACCACATCATTCATCAATCGGTAGGTGCTTCAAAAAAATTGATATTATGTAAACGCAAAATTCAGCACATTATTTTGTACTTCTGGTCCATCTCACTTGATTCAAATAGAGCAAAGTTACAACAAGTCAAAGTAGGCTTGTTTGTACGAAAATCGGTCTGTAAATAGGATCATTTATGCCACGGATACACTTGTATGACCTACTATGAGCATGAGCATTATATGTATAATAATTATAAGCCCTATACAACAGCTATACACAAACTATTATAATACAAGTGTGATGTATACATAATTTATTATACAAATAATGCTCATGCTCATAGTTTGCCATCCAAGTGTATCCGCAACATTAGAATGTTCATATATATGCATGTCTACATTTTGAAAAAGTATTCCATTTGGTTGATATCACTAAATAACTATTTGCTTTATTATATTTCAGTCTATGCTTTTTTGGGAAAACGGAGGACGAGGTCCTGGGCAAGAGCATACCGGGTTAATACAATCTCACATTCGAAATGCATGTAGACACGTGGTACCAGAGAAAAGAAAGTTTACCCATAAACCTAAAGCTCAACTGATTACGGATGTTTCGTCCGAAACATTACAAATAGCACAGGACTGTGCATGTAAAGATCCTATCTCTTCGAATTTTAATGCCATTTCAAAGATCATGACTGAGACACACTGCCTACATCTGATGATATTGCACGAAAAAAGAAACGTAAGGGAAATCGTTTCTGTTTTTCCGCATCTCAAATCTTATAATGGAGCGATGGTAATAGTTGCGGTTCGAAAATATGTAGCATTTAATAATTGATTTTAAATTTACAAATTTTACAGATTCAAAAGACCTACGAGCGGTTGCATGTGGGTTATAATAAAGAGGCCAACCTAAAGCATGTAATTGCAAGAGGATTGATGATCGAAAATGAAACGTTCACAGACGTCCATGATGGTAGGTTTTCCAGTTATTATTATTATTATTATTATTTTTATTATTTTTATTATTATTAATATTATTATTTAATTACTACTTTTTTCTTAATTATTCTGCCATAGATACCTTACGAGGATGCATAAGAATTTTTGTAGCTCTGGGGAAAAAAGGATTAAAAAATCTTACTGGAGTCGGTAACCTCCAAATTCATGAACAGATTGCCGCACCACTAGTTCGATGGATTCCGGTACATTAGTAAAAAAAGAAGTAATTATGTTTTAATTTAATCGTATTCATTTATTTGTAGAATCACGCAACTGCACTTGCAGAGCAACTTGCTCAGTACGTCGTGTTCAATCTAGAGCAAACGGTTGAGCATCATATTATTACCAATAATGAAAATTACTACGTGTATCTACAAGGAGAATTAATCGACTGCGGAAAATCATCGCTCCAGGCGCTCGATGTGCTGATTAAAGTATTTTCTGTTTTCGGAATGAAAGTTCCTTCTTCTATGAAGAAATTGATTGATTTTTTTGAAATCCTTCTATATAAAACAAAGTCCCACAGCACTGCAGTAGCTGTGAACAAACTTGTGGCATCTTTTTCTGAATCATTAATTGCTGAACAGAGTGACTCAGACAATGATATTTAATTTTTCATTTATTATTTACGCTTGTTTCATAACTGATTTTTGTTGATGTTATTTCTTTTTTTTAATAAAATAGTTTTGAATCTGAGAAATTTTTATTTTATCATTGACACAAATAAGAAAACCCCGAAATTAATAAAAAAGAAACCATGCGTCTCCATTATATTCAAGTTCTAGAAATGGTTACTTGTTACACATTTTGCAATAAAAACCATGCTTGAAAAATGTGTAAAAAATACACTTCTTTTGACGTTTGCTGGGTTTACACATAAATGTGTAAACGCAGTTTACACATTTTATGAGTAGGTCCCTTTTTCACGAAATGTGTGAAATTTTACACATTAATGTGTTTACGCTGATTACCGTGTACCCGATTGCTTTTATTGACAATAACCGTATTATCAATATATTCTATATTGACGTCAATAAATGAAAATATTTCTGTATTGACATCATCAACATTATTGTCAAAAATTCCCCATTGCGTCAATATATTGAAAAAAACATTGTCAATACCCAAAACCGGGGAGGAAGGAGCAGATTCGAAAAAATGTGTGTGTGTGTGTGTGTGTGTGTGTGTGTGTGTGCGTGTGTGTGTGTGTGTGTGTGTGTGTGTGTGTGTGTGTGTGTGTGTTTTTTTTTTTGTTATGATAAGGAAAGCTTCAAAATCCCGGCCTGTCACTGTGTTGCGTGTTTGTTCTCCTTCTGGCACAGTGTGGGACTCTTAACCACTAAAACCTTACTCGCCTCTAGCCACTATCCCCCCGGAACTCCCCTGGAGTATTTCGTCAGGGGGGGGAGCCTGTTCTGAAGCACTTCTCTTTAGCTCAGCTAGCCGGCGTTGCTAACTCGCTGATCATCTCTCCATTTTCGCTACAGCTCTGACAAAATTTGCGTCTTTGCCCTGCTAACGACGCTCCACGTCCTCTCATTCCGGCACATTTCACTGACGACATTTCTCGCGCTAAGGGCCGGCATCTCCACTCGCACTGCCTCAAATCTTGGGCAGTCGAAAACCACGTGCTCCGGCGTTTCGTCCACGTTGCCACACTCTGGACAGAGGGGTGACGTTGTGTGTCCAATGCGATGCAGGTACTTCCTAAAGCAGCCTGACCAGATAGGAACTGTGTCAAGTGGAAGTTGACTTCTCCATGCTTCCTGTTCACCCAGGTCGAAAGAATCGGTATTAGCCTGTGTGTCCATCTACCGTTCTCCGCTGCGTCCCACCTCCTGTTGCCACTTAGCCATCGACTCCGTTCTCACAACTTTTCGTACTCTTCTTGTATCTCTTCGCATATAGCATTCGGTGTCCTCCGCCAAGGTGATGACGATGGGTATCATACCGGCAATAACGCATACTGCTTCCGTCGAAATTGTTCTGTACGCACTCACGACTCGCATGGCCATGAGGCGGAACGTACTGTTCAATTTTCTTTGGTTCTTCTTCGTTTTCAGCGCTGCATCCCAGGCTGGACCTCCATACCTCAGTATCGACGACGATACACTAGCCAGAAGACGCCTCTTGCTGCTGCTTGGTCCAGAGTTGTTGGGCATGATTCTAACTATCGCATTGATGGCCTTTGCCACCTTCTCACGTGCGTAGTCGACGTGGCTATTGAAGCTTATCCGGTCATCGAGTATCACTCCAAGATACTTCAGCACGCGCTTTGATGCTATGGCGTTCTCCCCGACGGTAATTTCTGCTCGCTGAACAGCTTTACAGTTACTGACCAATAGCACTTCCGTTTTGTGGTGGCCTATCTGCAGCTTCGCTCCTCGCATCCAGTTGGAAACCGTGTCGATCGCCTCGGTTGCCAGCATTTCCACCTCTTCCAACGTCTCGCCTACTACCGCCAACACGATGTCGACCGCAAATCCTACGATCTCGACTCCTTTGGGCAGCTTCAGCGTTAGCACGCCGTTGTACATCGCGTTCCAAAGCGTTGGGCCAAGGATAGAGCCTTGTGGCACACCCGCCATGATCCGGATTGATTTCTCTCCCATGTCCGTCTCGTAGACTAGAACCCGGTTCTGGAAGTAACTCCTTATAATGCTACACAGGTTATCAAGAACCCTCATTCCATGCAGTGCTTCGGCGATGGCCTCCCAGCTGTGTGTGTGTGTGTGTCATCCGGCGTTTGACAAGTAGAACTGCGAATAATTTGATCACATTTCATGCTCCGTAATGGCTCCGCCCTTTATGTTGAGGCAAGACAGGGTGTCCTCAACAAGTTAAGGGAACAGGATGTACTAGATGTCCACAACAGGTACAGCAAAACATCACATAGACGATTCATTTATTTAATATACTCAAATCAATATTGAGAGATACCATTAACCAGGGTTTTGTCAAATTATTTAGCTGCATAATAAAATACAAAACATAAAAGTACATTTTCTTACTGAAAGCAAAACAGGCTATTTTGCTACGCCTATTTGTGTGCTATCTGCTTCTACTTCCCAGCTCAAAAGTGCTGTCAATATTATTGATGCTGTATGTTTGAAACGAAGTGAAATCAAGCTGAACATTGCGTTAGGTCCTAAGTAACATAGACAGATTCTCTTCGTCGACTTTCTCTTTGTATCCCTACGACCATGTAAATACATTCCCAGGTATTTTTAGCACTCAGATCGATAAAAGAAGCTTTTATCTAGCGTCTAATACGACAAATACAACAAGACACGGTTATGTGCTCAAGTTATTAACGTCTGTCTGCTGCTGCGGCCCAGCCTATTCCAGGATCCTCCACCGCCCCTGGTTTATCATGCACTGGTGCTGTCTCAGGTGAGCCTGTCGCCGATTCTCCGTTGACCTCGGAGGAACTTGCCGAGGTCATCATCATCATGCACACCTGCAAGATCTGATCTGAACAGCTACATGCTGCCCTGTCCCTTATGACTAAGTATGGTCCGTGAAGCCATCAAGATCTTAAATTTGAATGCTTGCTCCTAGAAGAGCAAAAACATCGAGTTTGTTGACTTTCTCAACGAACGGCTCATCGACATCTCCAAGACTCACTTGAAGCCCGAGCTGAACGTCTTCCTTCCCGACTTTCGGCTCGTAAGGATTGACCGCACCAGCTTCGGAGAAGCGGGAGTGGCCATCGCTGCGAGACGAAACATCAGCTGCTGGCTACTACCAACATTCCAGCTGAAAACTATTGAAGCCATCGGAGTTGAGGTGAGCACATCGCTTGGTCCAATCACCATCATCGCGCAAACCAACATTAGGGACGGGTCGGCCGCAGACCTCCGAAGAGAAATCATCAAGCTAACACGACAGCAAAAAAATAATTTTTACATTACATCCAAGAGGATGCACTTCAATCATGTCGAAAATCTCATGTAATTTTTAAGGTCACAAAAATAAACAAATGCAGTAAAAGCAGCGTAATGTCAGTTCATGCACTATAATAATGATAATTTTGTCCTTTTTGGCAAGTAATATTACACCATATTTTTCACACGGGGTCTGTGACAGGTTGGAAGGCCGCAGAATATCAGTGTCCACCCAGCTCCACCCCTTTTTAATTTTTCTCGTTTAACTCCTTCTCTAAACAAGTTGGCAAATCGTAGCCTTTAGCAGAAAGACGCTAAACATTTTTTTCAACGAATGTATGATCCTTTTCACGTCATGACTATGCCTGTTCACATAAATTAGTACTTTTATATGTTTTATCTACTGTGCTATATCAAACGAGTATAAATAAGAAGGGATGTCAGTTACACGCTTGAATAATTGAAAATCCGATTAATATTTCATCGAATATCAAGAAAAATATTTACGATTAATCATTAATCGAATAATTGGACATTTAGTATATCTTTTTCGTCGATTTCTCCTTTTAGTTCTACTACTTTTGTATCACTTTACTTTCACTAATTCACTTTCACTCTCTACTTACACTATCACGTTGAACTATAACAGATACGTTTTTCGTTTATCACTTGCAAACTTCTTCAGTGTCTAGTTATAGACTTAAAGAAAAAGCATTGCTTCTATTCCTTATAAAGTGTATAGGTAGTGTCTTATGTTTTCTGGTATGGTGTTTGTTGTTAGGGATTTTATGTAGGTAACCAGTAGAACATAGTACGGGTAAGCTTGTTTTGTTTATTGAGAAACGTAATTTGTCGTTTGGGCTGGTTGTCTCCATGTTTTAGGTAATAGTCTATCGATTTAATCGGTATCGGTAACAGGTATCGATTTCCTTGGTCCTTATTCTTATTCTTATTTAGACCTAAGAAATAGGTACAAGGCCTAAGAAATATCACAAAAAATAATTTCTAGTCAATTAATTACCATAGAACGGATTGGGTGCATTATCAAACATTTATGGAATATAACTTTTATCCAAATATTCCTTTGCAAACCAAAGATAATGTTACTTATTTTCTTGAATCTCTGAATACTTTTATAGATGAAGCAAGAGCTGCCTCAGAACCAAAATGCGAGGTTAAATTCGATTCAATTTTAATAGAGGATGCTCTTCAGCTCTTGATCCTTCTGAAAAATGTCTGTAGGAGGCAATATCAAGGAACACGCGTTCCTGCCATGAAAAATAACAGGCGGGATGTGCGATTCTCTGCCTTGAGGATCCAAATTTTTGAAAATAATGTTTTGAAATTAGACCCGAGTTCCAAACCCTTTTGGAAGCTCACAACAATTCTGAAAAAAAAAACTCAAAAGCCTATTCCAGCGCTTAAAGAAGGTGGTCAAATTTTGATCACAAATTCGGAAAAAGGTCAGAAACTTGCTAAGCAATTCGAGAATTCCCATAATTTCAGTTTGAGTCTTACTAGTCCTATTGAGAATCAGGTTGCTCGGGATTATCTGAATATTTTCTCTCAGGAAAATATTTTTGAAGATTCCTGGGGGACTGATTTGGGCGAATTAAGATTTATAGCTAAAAAAATTCAAAATATGAAAGCTCCTATCAAAAAAATTTAACAGATGTTTCCATTTGGCATACTTTCCTGATAAATGGACAAATGCAAAGTTATTCGAATTTTGAAGCCGGATAAAAATCCAGCTGAAGCTTCTAGCTACCGTCCAATAAGTTTGCTTTCTTCAATAAGTTAGCTTTTTGAATAGACAATTTTAAATTGTATGATGTTTCACATCAATACAAGCTCAATTTTTGCAGATGAGCAGTTTTGATTCCACCATAGGCATTCAACTACTCATCAACTCTTAAGAGTTGCCAATTTAATTAGTTCAAGCAAATCTCAAGGCTGCTCATCTGGAGTTGCTCTTCTAGACATAGAAAAAGCATTTGACAGTGTTTGTCATCAAGGGTCTATATTATGAAATTAGTTCAAAATTATTTAACTGACAGAAATTTGCAGGTAAATTATCAAAATTCCAAATCTGAACGACTACCTGTTAGAGCAGGAGTTCATCAGGGTAGCATTCTTGGGCCTATATTTTTTTCCTTTGGTTTGTTTTTTCCGTCGATCTTGTTTTCCGTGCTGAGCACCAATGCTACCGACGTACCAGGAAGGCAGCTCCCACACCTGGACCCTACCTATCGACCCATCAACTCATGAACCGGGGAACAACGGCTTTACTTCCCATCCGAAGGAAGGCGTGATCAGAGATGTTATGCCTCAGAACATCCCGGCGGCACCGACTGGGATTGAACCCAGGCCTGCTGGGGTGAGAGGTAATCACGCTTACCACTACACCACCGGCGCCGTTGACCTTTGGGCCTATATTATATAACATTTTCATTTCGGACCGCCCTGATTTGTCTCAGGGTTGCCATAAATCTTTGTTCGCCGATGACACAGGCATTTCTGCTAAAGGAAGAAGTCTTCGTGTTATTTGCAGCAGACTGCAGAAAAGTGTAGATATTTTCTCTTCTTATTTACAAAAACGGAAGATTCCTCCCAGCGCTTCCAAAACTCATCTTGTAATATTTCTACATACGCCTAGAGCTTACTTTTTGAAACTACTAGGTCACATAGTCACTATGAACGGAGTTCTAATTTCCTGGTCAAACCAAGTGAAATATCTTGGATTAGTACTAGACCAAAAATTAACTTTTAAAGATCACATTGAAGGCATTCAAGCCAAATGTACACAGTTAATTTTTTTTCGCAAAGATTCCAACAGTCGAGTAGTTCTGCAATGTATTTAGCTGAGATTCAGTAAAACAATTGCCGAGGCTCAGTTAACAAATAACATTTTGCAACAGCTTACAAACAGATATTTTGCAAATATATAAAAAAATTGTAATTTCATATAAACAGGAAATCCAAACTTTGCCTGAAGAATAAACTTCGAATAAACCGAGGTACATACATAGAATTTTGAATGTTGACATTTTAGAACAAATGTCCAACAAAATTACTACTAGTTTCAGGCAAAAATCGTTGCAATCCTCTATAGCAACGATGAATTCCCATTATTTAGTTTTAGTTTTCAGAGGATCCAGCTGTCAATTGTTATACTGACATGGAGGCTTAGAAAAACCTGTTTAAAATACTGAATTGCTAAGGCAGGAACAATGTAAAAACACTAAGATATATATCATAACAAATAAGGGTGATAAGTTACTGTAGTAGCTGATGCACCTAGGTTAAAATGAAATGCAATTTATTTTGAATTTGGAACTAATAAAGAGTAAAAAAAAAGTAGTGAGATGTAGACGATTTCTGTGTACAGCAATAAACATCTTGAATGGTAAGGTAAGTAAGTATGAATGGCAAACATAAAAAAATAAATTCTTTCATTTTAGTCCACTGTTTTTCCATAGCGTTGTATCTATCAAATAGATTGATTGTATCTTTCAGCATCCAATGAATAATTTGCGAATCACAGGGTCGGAATATCGGTATATTTTACTCATGTCGTGTTCATCATTTTGATTGTCATTTTCCCATTCAAATACCACACAATGGGGACTCGTACAGAATATTTACGCACT